CCACTGGCCGTGATGTCTACGACAAACTGGTCGTGCTCCTCCTCTGGCTTGGAGTGGAGGTAGAGGACTCTGCCTTCGTTGATGTCCTCCTGGGTGAAGGACTGGATGGGGTCCAGGCTGGGCTGCTCGTTCAAGTCTCGGCCATGCTGAAGCATTGCCAGGAAGCCGGAGGCTGGGGGGCTGCTCACCAGGTAGACTATGTCCTGGGGAAGGATCTCTTCGTGGGCCACCTGGGAGTGTGGGGGAGACAAGACGTGAGTGGGGGGCTGATGCCTGCGAGGCTGGGCTGCCCCACAGCCCACCACTGTGCAATCTCCTGAGGCTTTGCTCTGTGGGGTAAGCTGCAAGTCACCTTCTTGCCAAGACCATGCCCCTCTGCCCCTGGCCAAAGCCTGACATGAGCACGAGTCCTTTGCTGTGGGCAGGTGGGTGTAAAATGGAATCCCACCGGCTGTCCTGGTTTGGTGGCCAGGAAAGTGATGCAGGCTTGGGGAATGACTAGAGAAGGGGATACTCACCAGTAGGGACTCTTCCTTGATCCCAGCTGCTTCCCCCTGGAAGACACGTATCTCCTTGTGGTTGACTATACGCAGGGGGCTGGGATGGGTTTCCAAGAACACGCTGATGGCCAGCGTGTCCTCCACCACCACCTCGTTTGCTTCTACAGTGAACTGGAGCTCATCCCGGGTGTTCCTGCTCCCGTTGTGGCGGTAGGAGATCTCCCCTGCTAGCAGGTCCCTCTGGGAGAAGGCCACGACCGGCTGCTCCCCTCTCAGCACAGTCCCCCACCTTGGGGGGGTCGTTATCAGGAACCGTATCTCTTCATCTGACCTGATGTCCATGTTGGTCTCCAGGCTGAGGACAGAAGAGTCGATGCTCCCTCGGCTCCCCTGGTGGATGACTAGACCGGTGTTGTTGACTATTTTGATGTAGGGATCTGACGCCTGTACTTCCAGGAGGGCCGTGGTTTGGTGGAGGCCATCTGAGACCTGTAGCTGGATCCACCCCCGGTCAGCCCCTGAATGGACAAAAAGGATCTTCTTCTTCCTCAGGTCATCCTGCGTGAACCGATAGACCTGATGGCTTCTGTCATCGACAGACACGATGCTGCCAAACAAAATGTCCTTCCTCGCCAGCACCAGCTGCGTGTCAGAGAAGCCAGAGTCCTCGTCGGCGAAGGCGATGTCGTCTGTCGTCAGCAGGTGCTGCCCATTGCGCACCACGTTGAAGACCTTGTTCACCACTTGGACTGGGGTGTGGTCATTGACGGGTTGGATGGAGACCCTGAAAACACCTCTTACCTCCTCCGCATCGGGCTCAGCGCTCCCCTCACCTTGCCTGATCGCTACGAAGGGGATGTCATCCTCCAGTGTCTCGGAGTCATCGTGCTGGTACAGCAGCCGGTGGTGGAGGATATCATCGTTGGTGAACTCCATGATCTCCTCTCTGGAGGCCCAGCTGGGGGACGCAGCCCAGGCCAGCCTCCCGTGTGCTGGCCCCTCAATCACTTCGTAGAGGTAGTCCATGCTGTTCATGCTCTGTACAAACAAGTGGTCCTTGGAGATGACAGCTTGCCCCCCTTCTGGCACGGTCAGGAGGACGTTGGTCAGGGCTGGTGCGTCGGGGTCCCCGCCAATGCTGATTGTGTAGGTGTAGATGGGAGAGTGCTGCTCGCCGGCGTGGACACGAAACTGGAAGGTGTCCTCGGCTTGCTGAGAGTTCCTGATGGTCGCGCTGTAGCTCAGGTGGTTTCTTTGCAGGTCGTCCTGGGTAAATCCAAAGCCTTCGGTCAGCCTGTTGCCGAGCAGCTCCAAGTTTCCCTTTTTGGGAGCCTGGATTATCAGGTAGTGGAAAGGGACCGGGGCAGAGTTTGGGTCTTCCAACATTGCCTCCAGCTCCTTACTGGTGATGTTTCTGTGCCGCTTGTTCTTCATCTGGAGGGGGACCATGGTCCTCATCTTAATGGTGGCTCTTTTAATCCTTATGAGAAAGGTGTTGTTTTGCAAGACTTTCTGCCCCACCTGGACTTTGAATCTCAGCCTCTCCATGACATCTTCCAGCCGGTGCTCCGAGTCCGTGCTGAAATACTGGATGCGCCCTTGCTCCAAGTCTTGCTGGTGGAAGGACTCGACTTTTTTCCATTCCCCTCCCATGCTCCCTTGCTTCTGGACCTCACCATACCTTAGGGGCTCTGTGAGGACATACAGGATGGCAACCCGTTGTTTCACGGCATTCGTCTCCACTGACAGGTTGGCTGTGGTAATGCGCGCAGCCCCTCCTTGGGCGATGGAGAGGCCGGTGTTGTTGCGCAGGTGGATGTCAGGGTCAATGGCGAGGATTCTCAGGGTGGCAGTGGGGCTTGGGACTGTGCCGTCGCTCACCTGCAAGGTGAGTTGTAAGTTTGTCCCGCTTTGGTGCACGTAGACTACGTTGCCTGTTTCCAGGTCCCTGCAGGAGAACTCCTCAATGGGCACTCCAGGGTGGAAGTCATACTCTACATAACCCTCCTCCATCTGCTGGCCACCATGCAGCTGGAATTCGAGGTCATCACAGGACGTGTCATCATCTAGGACCTGCAGGATGTCTGTGGTCAGGTGCTTCCGTGTGTGCTTCAGGATTGTCATGTGGTTCCCATCGGGAAAGATCACTTGTGGGGCATCGTTGATGGGGTTGATCATGATGGGCAGCAGGTACATCTGCCCCTGCCGCAAGCACTCGGGGACCCCTTGCTGGGCAGTTACCGTCACCTCCAGCATCAGCTGGTCCATGGGCCCCTCGGAGCCGTCGTGGACATACCTGACTTTCCTATTCACAATGTCCAACAAGGTGAACTTCCTTCTGCTCCTGGACCCAGGAATGTCCAGCTCCAGCTGGCCGTGCCTAGGATCGTTGGTGATGCTAAAGAGGATTTGGGACTGCCGGATGTTTGCAAGACTCAAGTCTACCGTTGGCTGGGTGTGTTTCCACTCCAGATAGGCCGTGCCCCCTTCAGAGACGATGAGGGGGCTGACGTGCAGCAGCCTGCTGATGTTGGCGAAGGCGGGTGGGAAGCTATTGTCTGGCCGGCACGGTTCCACCACCAGGCCCGGTGCCCCTGACCAGACATCTGGAGGTGGGGAGGTGGGTGCCTCGTCCTGCTCGTACACCTCGTCGTAGTCCCAGTAGTGCTCCTGCTTTCCACAGCCTGATGTGATGTCCTTCGTGATCACGGCATCCTGCAGACTCCTCCTCTGCAGGTTTATCCGCAGGTCCTCCAGGCAACCAACAAACGAGTTGTTGGTCATGGTCCACACCGAGATGAAAGCCAGATGATGCTCTCTCAGCCTCTGCAGAGCTTTTTCGTTCATACCTCCGATGAAGAGGTTTCCCTGAAGGTCCAGGTAGTTGTTGATGCCCCGGTTGGACGTGGATGAGGCGTAGTAATCTATCAGTATCTCAAACTTGTGGATGTCTGTGTAGACTTTGACATAGTGCTGCTGCTCATCGCTGATGAAGACATTGTTGTGCAGGACGATGACGCCGTTCCCCTTCTCAACAAACCCTCTCAGGCGCCCGTTGGAGATCTCCAGGTAGAAGAAGTCATTCTCCAGCCCTGCGTGATAGATGAGGGGTGCCTGGGTGACGCTCGTCGTTATCACAAACTCAATGGTTGCCTCCTCCCTGGCATCCCACGTGGGAAACGCGATGTAGGAGTGTGGCCCCAGGAACCCGAAGGGGTCCTCGGGTTCCGCAGAGAACTGCGTGCTGCACCCTTCCTGGACCTGGTGGAAGATCTTGGAGCTGCCGTCGGAGGACAGAGGGGAGAGGACATCCAGGCCGTTGAACGTCACTAAGTGGAGGCAACCTCTGAAGGGTGAGCTGGCCTCGGCGAGGTAGGGCAGGTCAAGGCTGCCTGTCCCACCGGCATAGAGGCCGTACTGGATGTCCAGCTCCCGTACGGGCCCTGCGATGTCCACAGAGCTGTTGAAGAGGCCGTCGATGGTCAGCGTCATTCTGCCGTCTTCCACCAGCAGCTCCAC